GGGCCGCCAAACGCTGTGCGTGGAGGGGATGCATGTGGACACCGCCACCGGACCCTTAGGTGTAGCTCCCCATGGGGCCACGAATCGCTGTGCTGGGTGGGGGGAGCGCATGTGGGCACCGCGACTGGGGCCTTATGTGGAACTCCCTGCGGGGCCATGATGCGCTGTGCTGGGCGTGGCGGCCGCATGTGGACACCGCCACTGGGGCCTTAGGTGGAGCTCCCTGTGGGGCCACGAAGCGCTGTGATGGGTGGGAAGACAGAGGCACGGTTGGGAGGAGGAGGGAGGAGGGTGAGGAGGAAGGAGAGGAGGGACGCGGGGAGTTGTCTCTTCAGAACGAGGGCCCAACACCACAGGATGGTTGGACATGTTGGGAGGAAGGGGGAGGAGGAGGAGCGAGGAGGTGATGCGGGGCGCTGTCTCTCCAACACCACAGGATGGTTGGGAAAAAGACGGTTCGATTGGACTGCGAATGCCAATATGTGTGGGGCCGGCTAGAAGTTGAGCGCGCGCGAAGCGCGCGCAATGGTCTCCCCAGACGTCCGGCTGTTTTTATTGTTTGAAACGTGGGCCCCAGAGGTCCAGATCAGCTCCCGAGGGCCAGTTTTTCGTCCTGAGTCGTTTTCTAACGCTCCCGAGGCCTAGCGAGGGCCCCCAGAGGCCGAAAACGGCGCAAAACCGCCCGCTCCAAATTTATTGGAACGTCGGATCTTTGGGTCTCTCTCTCTCTCTCTTTCTCATGCTCTCCCTCTGCTTGACATCGCATTACCATGTGTAAGCGAAAGCGCACCCATTACGGGGGGCTGGGTCCGGGGGTCCCCGGGCCAGCACCCTCGAGTCCCGATGACCCAAGAGGCCCCCTGTGGGGCTGAAGTTCTTCAGCTGGAGCGGGCGGTTTTTGTTGCCATTCTCGGCCTCTGGGGGCCCTCGCCTGGCCTCGGGAGGCTGAAGTTTTTCAGCTCACGAGCCCACTTCGACTACACTCGGCGGCGAGACCTCCGGTGGAAGTGAGAAGGAGAACGCCCTCTCAGAAGAACTCTCAGAAGGCGCGAGGGCTTCTGAGAAGTCCCGCCGCCTTCTGAGAAGGTCTTCTCCTTCTCACTTGCCCCCCTCGCTCGCCGCCGATACACGCAGGAGTGACCTTTTGCCGGAGTGATCTATCGTGCGGCCCTATCGCTGAACGCGGCGCGGGGTGGCAGCGGCTTGCGCGCCCCGATTTGGCCACCACGCTGCGAACACACAGATCACTCTTGCTTCAGGCTGCTCTTGCGTGCAGCCGACCAATGGGAGCCCAAGAGCCCTTCGATAATTTCCCGATGGCCGAAGGGAGCCCCTGGGACGTGGGCATCCTGCAAGTGAAGACCCAACTATGGATCTGAAGTCTCCGTGATTGGCCATTCTGGCTCGAGCGATTCGGGTCAAGCTCAAGTCTGATTCAAGGCTGCTTCGCTGCAGCCTCACCTCGTTGTCGGTTGACCACCTTCGTGCCCGTGCAGCCCGCGCAATGCTGCAGAACGCTCTGCTGTGGACCTGCGTGCTTGGCAGCGCGGCCGCCGCTCGCACGGAGTCCAGCGACCTGGCGTCTCTTCAGGCAAAGGCGGGCGTCCCTCAGGAAGAGAAGGTCTCCTCCTCCTCCTCCTCCTTATCCTCCTCATCCTCATCCTCATCCCTCCTCCTCCTCCTCCTCCTCCCCCTCCTCCCCCTCCTCCCCCTCCTCCTCCTCCTCCTCCTCCTTCTCATCATCCCTCCTCCTTTCTACTTCCTCCTTTCTCCTGTTTCCTCCTCGGTATACATCGTCATCCAGCTGACGACCCCCGACGGCAAGAAGTACACCCTCGAAGCCCCCGACGGCTGTGCCAACGTCAAGTGCCGGGTGCGCGGTTACGCTTGCAGCTTCCGCAAGGTTCTCGGTCCGCTGGATGGCCCCCTCATGGGCTACTTGTTCTATGCTGGGGACGGACAGGACAAGAAGAAGTCGGAGCTCAAGGAGAAGTTGCTTCCCGACCTGCAGCAGCTGAAGATCCCGGTGGCGGATGACCGGACGACGGACATCGGCTATATCGGCGACTTGTCCGACCCGAGGAAGGTGACGCCAGAGGGGTTCGAACATTGGAAGTACTACTACGTGTGGACAGTTCCCGTGCCGAGTGTCAAGGACTTCTACACGCTGCAGGGCTGCAGGCTTGCCCTCTCCGAGGGCCGCTTCCCCAAGATTGGCAAGAGGGAGTAAGACCTGGCGAGAGAGCTTCCCCGAAGCGGGAGTGGGATCTCTCCGCCTGCTTTGTGCGCATGATGCGCCACGTCTTGGTGACGAGCTCGACGAAACGGATCAGAAGCCACCCAAGGACGCCCCCGAGGGAGGGAGCAACATCGTATCAAAAACATGTGTTTCAATATGTTCGGTTTTTGTTTGCCTTTTCCGTTCCGATGGGGTCTTGGGGCCCCAAGAGGCTTCCAAGAGGCCTCCAAGAGACCCCCCCCCGAGGCCCCCGATACACGCCCAAGTGGCCCCAACCAGCCCCTCGAGAGGCTCCCCAAAGCATTGCGATGTATTTCTTGCAGGCCTAACATCGGAGACTCCTGCCTTCTGGCAGCCTCTCCGGTTACATGCGAGCGACGCAGAACAACTGGGTCGTCTGCATGGACATTAGCGCATACGTAGCCCGCGTAAGGTCGCGCGTAAGCGTCCTCGTCTCGTGTAGTGTTCCGCGCTGGTGGCCCGCATAGGCCGCGGCGTAGGGTTGCTGTGCCATCTCGCGTCAGACCAATTTCTTTCGACGCTCACGTGGAGTCGGTTACACACACCCTCCCCCCGACCTCGCAGTCCCGGAGAGGCCTTTGCGAACGTATGGCGTCGCTTCCAGCGCGCTCCCTCTTCCTCCTCCTTCTCCACCTCCTCCTCCTCTTTCCTCCTCCTCCTGCTCCTCTCCCTTTTCCTCCTCTTCCGCCTCCCCCGCCTTCTCCTCCCCCTCTTCCTCCTCCTGCTCCTCCTCCTCCTCCTCCTCATCCTCCTCCCTCCTCATCCTTCTCCTTTTCCTCGCGAGGAGCAGGAGGAGGACGAAAAGGAAAAGGAGGAGGAGCAGGAGGAAGAGGAGGAACAGGAGGGACAGGAAAAGGAGGAGCAGGGAGGAGGAGGATGATCAGGAGCTGGAGGAGGAGGAGGAGGAGGAGGCGGAGGAGGAGGAAAAGGAGGAAATGGAGGAGGAGGAAAAGGAGGAGGAGGAACAGGAGGAAAAGGAGGAGGAGGGGGAGGAATGGAGGAGGAGGAGGAAGAGGAGGAGGAGGACAGACCAGTGTAAACCCAAGAGACATCAACGATGTTGGAGTAAACCCACCAAACTCCCACTTCATAGGCCCCTACAACGGTTCATTTCCATTGAGGGGACTGCATCGCTGGACGACAACAGTTTGAAGACCCTGAAGCATGCCAAAACATAGTTCTCGGGATCCCAACGTCACAGAGCAACCTGATTGTTGCGTTTTGATGTTCTTGAATCATGCCAGGACGCCATACCAAGGGCTTCATTACAGAGAACCAAAGTAATTCTTCACGCTTCGCGTATCCCCACCAGCCCATCTCAAAACAGCAACTCTTGCGAAGCATGCCGACAGTCGTGTTTTTCAGGCGTGTGTCCGCGTGCCCCCGCATATCTCCCCTGTTCCTCCTTCCTCCCGCCTCCTTGTACATCCTCCTTGTGGTGGGAGCGGGAGAAGGACGAGGCGGAGGAGGAGGGAGAGAAAGCGGTGGGAGGCAAGAGGGATTTAGCGGAGACGACGACCACAGCGATGATCCAAACAACGACGACGCACCCGACGACGACGACGATATCGACCGCAACGACGACGACGACCACAACCGCGTCGACGACGACGACGACGACGTCGACGACGACGACGACGAAGGCGGCGGCGGCGACG